GAGGAAGGAGCAACGTTCGTCCAACAGAATCATCCCTCTGCTTTAATGGCCAAGCATCGTATGTAAACTTTGTTTTGTAAAACTGAGTTATGATTTTAGTCACCCTTCATTTTAAGTTGTGTTTGGTTTAAACATTTGATTCAAAATATAAGCATCATGAAAATTATAATTAGCTTTCAAAACATTATTATAAGCATCGTGATGGCTGTAATTCATATGAGGTTGATATGGTGCCTCTGGATTGGTGTCTCTAGGTTATACTTTAGTTGTGTTTATAAAATATTTTGGATTGAAGTACTCTTAAGCCAAATTAATGGTATCACATTTGTCATTATTATTTTAATTTCAAGAATTTTAGCTACTTAGTTATAATTATTTTATGAATTCTAATTTCGTAAAATGCAAATGCCATATATATATATATATATATATATATATATATATATATATATATATATATATATATAATTTGGTGTAAAAAAAAGTGTATTAGAATAGGATTTTGAAGAGAGTGTGCTATAATAGTGCTTTGTTAGAAAGTGCTATCAAAATTAAAGTAATTTACCGGTATTTCAATAGCGCTTTGTTTGGAAGTGCTATCGAATATGTGGATTATAATAGCGCTTTGTTTGGTGTCTCTAGGTTATACTTTAGTTGTGTTTATAAAATATTTTGGATTGAAGTACTCTTAAGCCAAATTAATGGTATCACATTTGTCATTATTATTTTAATTTCAAGAATTTTAGCTACTTAGTTATAATTATTTTATGAATTCTAATTTCGTAAAATGCAAATGCCATATATATATATATATATATATATATATATATATATATATATATATATATATATATATATATATATATATATATATATATATATATATATATATATATATAATTTGGTGTAAAAAAAAGTGTATTAGAATAGGGTTTTGAAGAGAGTGTGCTATAATAGCGCTTTGTTAGAAAGTGCTATCAAAATTAGAGTAATTTACCGGTATTTCAATAGCGCTTTGTTTGGAAGTGCTATCGAATATGTGAATTATAATAGCGCTTTGTTTAAAAGTGCTATTAAATATGTGTCTTATAATAGCGCTTTATTGGAAAGCGCTATTAAATATGTGTACTATAATAGCGCTTTGTTTGAAAGCGCTATCAAAATTAAAGCAAATTACCTGTGCTATAATAGCGCTTTTTTTGAAAGCGCTATCAAATATGTGACTTATAATAGCGGTTTTGTAAAAGCGCTATTAAAGACAGGTCCTATAATAGCTCTTTTGAAAAAGCGCTATTAATTACCAGAACTATAATAGCGCTTTTAAAGCGCTATTAAAAATTTTGTTTTACAATAGCGCCTTGATTAATAGTGCTTTAAAGCGCTATTAAAAAGCAAAAAAAGCGCTATTAAAAAACTTTTTTGTAGTAGTGAAACCGCAAATAAGGTTGTCATCGTGTTCTTGCCAAGGTGGCTGATGTTGAAGTTCAACGGTGAAGTTATTTGCACCTCTATTTCACGTTATCGTTCACGTCTTCGAAATTCGGCGACGTTGCAACCTGTACAGAAATTAGCAATAATACAAGCGAAAACAGCCTCATCGAATACAAAACCGGCAGGGAGAAAAGTGAGTGAAGTTATGATTACAGCCAGCAGTATGCATTCATTATTAACAAGATGTTCATTCAAGTTCAACAAAAACGGTCACCATGAAATTATCTTACTGTTATTGTTAACAAAAAAAAAAGAAGCTAAACTTCAAAGAATTAATTCCAGAAAAGATTTTACAAAGTAGGCAACATAGCAACAAATACAGCCAACCAAACCAAATCAAATCAATCCCGAGCAGAAAAAACAATACGAAATGGGTCGAAGTTGTTACCGATATGCGACTGGTTTTAACTCGACCACACTGTTGCAGAGAAGTGTTACTGCTACCAAGTTGATTTGAAAAAAAATAACATTGTCGCAAAAACTCGTTATTGAATGTGTTCTGCTGTTGAATGGTGTCGGTGCGAAGTTGTCGAGTTCGTGAAACCTGCTGCCGTCGAGCTGTGTTGTTGCTAAAACCGAGTGTGTATCGCTATAGCCGAACGTGTTGCAGAACCTGAATCTTACGAAGTCACCTGGAAATTTGCTTCAAAACAGGGGCAGTCGTCGGAATTCAATGTCGAACAGCGCAAAAAACTCCTCTTTCGTCCTCGTTTATGATTTTCTTTCGGCGGTGTCGCAACCTGCATAAAATCAACAGCCCACACCAAAATAGAGAACAGACGCGGTGAAAATGAAATCCACGATAATCGAGTTGAGTTAAACAACAACTTGTTTGCAATCCAAAGAAACTCGTTATCTAGTTTTCGATACCGAAAATAATAACACCATTGCTACAAGCATTAAATCTCAGTTGTTGCCTGTTGAAACAGCTTACGAACACGTCTTCGCAATCACCAACTTTCTGAAACATATGGAAGATTGAGTTGTCGCCCGATATATCGTTGCAACCCGTGTTTGTTGTCAAAGGACGATGTAAGTTCTTGCTGCTGTGAATAAATGAAAAACGGAGCCAACAAGGATATCGTGTTTTTCGTGAACAAATGTTGAGTCGACTCGTTGCTGTTGTGTTAAATCCGCAACTCATATCAGAAATAGTAGCATCAAAACAGGCCTACTTGTGAATCAAGTTGAGACAGAAAAAACCGACTCAATATCATCATCGTCATGTCGCGTTTTCTCGAACACCTGGTGGGCAGCGTATACAGGGTAAATCGGGAAAGAAGGTGCAGGTGTTTGGAGTGAGCTTGGTGGTGAAAACGGAAGAGGTGAGCTTGGTGGTGAAAACGGAAGAGGGGTTGAATGGTTTCACGGCGCTGTTTTAATGGGTGATTTTAGGGTTCAGATTAGGGATTAGAGAAGGTAGTCGAAAGAGAGATTCAGAGGTGATGATTATGGTGGTTATGGCGGAAAACAGGTGAAGAAAGAAGGTTATTGTGATGATGAAGGGTGGAGACAGAAATGAGAGTTTGAGGTTGGAGGAGGCAGCTGAGGGTTGATTGTTGGAAGAGGCGGCTGAGTTTTTTTTCAATTGATTTTGCGCGGCTAGGTTATTCTCCCTCGGTGAACAGTGTAGGGTTCCATATTTATAATCCTCAATCTATAACCCTAATTTCAAACTCAACCAACCGTGTTCTTTTCTTTTAATTCTTTTTTATTTTTCTTTTAATTTTTCTGAACAATAAATTAAATTAACAAACCCATTTTATACTTTTAATTATATTAACAATTCTAAATCTCTAAATTAATTTAATCTAATCTAAAATCTATTAATTAACTCAATTTCTAATTAAAATTTTAATATCTAATCATAAATAAGTAATTCTAATTCTATCCTAATCTAAACTAATCAATTAATAAATATTAAAACTATATTATACTTACATATTATAAAAAATCAAATTATAAAACAAAAACAATAATAAATAAAATAAAATAAACAATGACACGTGTCACAAATTTATTCGTTAAAAAAGGTGAGAAAATTTATTTTGCTAAAAAATACGCTACGCTGTACAAGCGATGCGAATTGAAAAATAAAGTCGGGCTAATGAAGATTTTGAAACAGGTAGGACAAATTTGGGATATGACAATATGACGCATGCACTCCAAATTAGAGAACATATGGTGTAGGCGCCATTTGATTTGGCTACACCTACATGTATGCTCCAAATCAAGTGGCGCATGAGTTTTCACTTTCTGCAAATACTCCAAATGAAATGGCGTCTCCATGTTGAAACTTTATGAAACTACGCTATTTTGATAAATAAATTGAAAAACATGTTATTTTGGTATTTAATTTGAATAAATAGGTTATTTTTATATAAAAAAATCATGCACCAACACAGTATGCTATCTATAGATTTGGTTACATTTTGCTAATTTATTGGTTTTTTTTAAACAAAGAGTAATCTCTAAATGTTTGGTTTGGTTTACTTTAATTGTTTGAGTGTGATTCTCATTCATCCTACCAACTATAAGGCCCTTGAATCTCCTTACAGTATATATATATATATATATATATATATATATATATATATATATATATATATATATATATATATATATATATATATATATATATATATATATATATATATATATATATATATATATATATATATATATATATATATATATATATATATATATATATATATATATATATATATATATATATATATATATATATATATATATATATATATATATATATATATATATATATATATATATATATATATATATATATATATATATATATATATATATATATATATATATATATATATATATATATATATATATATATATATATATATATATATATATATATATATATATATATATATATATATATATATATATATATATATATATATATATATATATATATATATATATATATATATATATATATATATATATATATTTGAACATTAATTAAACTCTCATTTTAGTCAAACATTGTGACAAAAAAAATACAATATATGACTAATTTGAAAATAAGTGTATACATTAATTAAGCTGGCTTCCATTTAACCAATAGAATATGATATAGATTTGGTCTTTCAATAATTTGTCTATATAGAAACTATTATTTTACTATCATTTTCATAATTGAAAGTGATAGAAACTAGTTCTTTACCTAATTGAATTAAGACAATTTCTCATATTCATTAATAGAAACAAAATTGCAATAGATAGGATAACACACATAATAACACAATAACATTAGAATAATTGTTCTAACTCCTTACTTAGAAGTCTAATAAACTACATAAGTTTGAAAGACTAAACCGACGTCAACTCAATCTTTAACTATTAAATTGAGATTTATTTTAAAACACAATTACCTAGTTCCTAGAAACAAGACCTTACTTAGTGCACAAACAACATGAAAAGTTTTGGGACAGACACCGACTAACCAATATAAACTAGTTTCCTTTTATTCATTTGGTGGCATGTGGTGGGCGTGGCACCCATAAGACATGCTTAACAGGGAAGAAATGGCACAATGGACCTTCCCCGGGCTTCATTCCAAGTAGTTCAAATATAAAATGATTAGGATCCATGTCAGATGTGTCTAGGTGGCAAATTCCCAAAGCATCCATTGTGTCTCCATATTCACCCTTTAGAAGAACTTTGAAGATCTTACTTCCTATGTCTAGGTAGTGGCAATAGTAAAGAGCGTATGGATAAGGCCTAGGGTGACATGCTACCCATTTAGGAGCATATATATCCTTTGAGATATCCATAACAGTGTAGTTCTGCAATTGTGCACCTGATGTCGTGGGATAGCTAGTCGAGTGAATGTCATAATTAGTCTCGGCACCAATAACACTATGAACAAATTCAAGCATGGACTCTAAAGAAGTAGGACAAGCCTTGGTCTCCCCTTTGTTGGGTCTAAACTCACATTGATTAATTATGTCTATCATGTCTTCACCTTGAGTAGAATCTTTTGTGAGTGAGAATAGTTGTAGAAGGCTTGGAATTTGTGATTTGGAAAAAGGAATGTCATCGGCAACTTTTCTTGGCAAGAACTTAGCATATTCTCTGATAGGAAATTGCAAGGTCATTACATTCCCTACATAAAGATCTTCTATACCGAAAAAAGCTACCTTGAATGCTTCTGTATGGTCAACTTTTGAAGATAAATTTTCATTTGATTCCGCAAAATCATGTCTAATCTTCATATGGTTCTCTGCATGCGAGTCTTTCAACCAACCATCAAGGTAAGCTTGCTTGGAATTCGAGATGGATTTTGCATTCTCAACATGGCTATCTTTCAACCAGCCATCAAGATAAACTTGGTTAGAGTCAGGGGAGGAATTTTCTTTCTCTGCTTGTGTATCTTTCAACCATCCATCTAGGTAAACTTGGTTGGAGTCGATGGTCGATTTTTCTTTCAAATCCCGGATATCTTTCAACCATCCATCAAGGTAAACTTTGTTGGAGTTAATGTTGGATTTTTCATTATTGGCTTGGGTATCTTTCAACCATCCATCAAGGTAAACTTGGTTGGAGTTAGGGTTGACATTTAATTTCTCAGATCGTGTATCTTTCAACCATCCATCAAGGTAAACTTGGTTGGAGTCAGGGTTGACTTTCGCTTCCTCAGCTCGAGTATCTTTCAACCATCCATCAAGATAAACCTGGTTTGAGTCAGGGTTGGCTTTGGCTTTCTCAGCTCGGATATCTTTCAACCATCCATCAAGATAAACTTGGTTTATGTCAGTGTTGGTTTTTGCTTTCTCGACTTGAGTATCTTTCAACCATCCATCAAGGTAAACTTGATTGGAGTCAGGGGAAGCTTTCGCATTCTCGACTCTAGTATCTTTTAACCATCCATCAAGATAAACTTGGTTGGAGTTAAGGTTGGCTTTTGCTTTCTCAGCTCGGGTATTTTTCAACCATCCATCAAGGTAAACTTGGTTGGAGTCAGGGTTCACTTTTTCTTTCTCGGCTCTGGTATCTTTCAACCATCCATCAAGGTAAACTTGGTTTGAGTCAGGGTTGGATTTTTCTTTCTCGCCTCGGGCATCTTTCAACCATCCATCAAGGTAAACTTGGTTGGAGTCATGGTTTAACTTTTCTTTCTCACCTCTGATATCTTTCAACCATCCATCAAGATAAACTTGGTTGGAGTTTTCTTTCTCACCTCGGGTATCTTTCAACCATCCATCAACATAAACTTGGTTGGAGTTTTCTTTCTCAGCTCGGGTATCTTTCAACCATCCATCAAGATAAACTTGGTTGGAGTTTTCTTTCTCAGCTCGGGTATCTTTCAACCATCCATCAAGATAAACTTGGTTGGAGTTATGGGAGGATTTTTGGTTCTTTAGTGGAGTGTTTTTTAGCCAACCATCAAGGTAAGGCTGGTCAACTTGGTTCATATCTCTTGCAAAGCTTCCATGATCATTCTACAATATAATTGAATAAAGGGATATTAGTGAATGACAATTTAATTACATGTTTTGGATGATATATATGACTAAAAAAACACAAGTGTGTTATGATACACATTATGCTCTACAGGGAAGAAATACTCATTATGTATATATAGGAGATAAATAACATAACATGAAACTTAAAAGAATAGTGAGTAAAATATTTTTAATTTCATTACAGCAAAAAACATCATAATTTAGTTAGTTATAGAACACTCGATTATGAGTGTGATAAATGCATGAAAAACAACTAAGGAGAAGAATCTTAGAAGCATTCACTAAATTTAATTGCAAATAGAGATAAAAATGATAGACTATGAACATGTTGAATTTTATTAAATTTAACATGCATCCACAATTGTAAATAAAGATGAAAATGATAAATTATTATGATAAATAAATGATGAAAAATGTAAGTGTAAAAGATAGAAACATGTATGGAAAGTTAGTAACTCACAATCAACAAGAGTAGAAGAAAAGGAAGAATAGACATAACAATTCTGTGTGCCATTTTTTTCTGATATGTTTTTGTGAGAAAACTGTATTGTTGTTGTGAAATATATTGGAATGAAAGTGAGCTAAGCTATTTATAGACAATTAAGAAGAAAAAGTGCAAATAACCAAAACAATAAGACTTTGTTTGGCAAAACCATTTTTTAAATATTTATTTAATTTTTTTTATAATGTTTATGTTTATGTTTAAATAATCTGTTTGGTGGCTGTTATTTTTGTCATGTTCTTATAGTTTACTGTTATTCATTTATAACTTATTTTGATAAGTTATTTCAAGTAGTTTATAGATTGTAATCTTAATTGAAATATAAAAATAAAAAAATAATAAAAAACTAAACATTTTTTTATGTCATTTAATATTTTTAAGCGGCTTATGATTCACGTCCACACCTTCATCAGTTGTTTTTGTGATCTTGTGTATATTTTTAAAATTGTTTGTAAAATAGCTTTTATAAATTTGTGTAAATCTTTAGTGTATAGACAAAGTAACAAATATCACATGAAGCTGTTATACAAAAGTCATATACATAACTATAACTTTTATAAATTTGTGTAAATCTTAATTGGACATTTTAGATTTGAATTTGAACCATATGTCCAATTTAATACTATCATTATCTTGAAGATGATAATTTCCGTATTTAATTAACTCTATTTGGACAAGTATTTTAATATTAAAACTGTATCAAAATCACAATAATAATTTAATAGTTTAATTATTTTAAATTCAATTAAAAATTTTGTTCATGAATCATATCTCATGTTTTGGTTATTATAATAGAAATTTACATAGGAACTAATGAATTCAGATAATAAGACAAAATAATCTCACAAGAAACTCTTAAAACAGTGTGTAGAGTTTGCATGTTTAACAAGTTAATGTGTTAAGCTGACACATCACATGGAGGACTTGCATGTTCTCAAGTAAGCTGACATGATTGTAGTTATCTAAGAAGAAGTTCTTACATTAATGAGTTAAAAAAAAAATTATTACACATCAGCATTTTTTAGTTCAATTAAAATTGTTAAATTTTATTGTAAATAAATGTTTATGTGCCAAAAACTTGAAAGGTTTGAAGTACTCATGTTTTGGTTATTGTAATAATCTGTTTGAATTTCTTTTTTTTTTTTTTTTGCTAAATCTTCAAATTTACAACTTCGGCAGCAATGAATTTAGGCTTTAAAACAAAATAAAAAAACTCTAAAGTATCTTTGTGTGTTGATTATGTCTTGATAATTATAATTTGCTTATTTAATTATTTTATTTGGACAAGTATTAAACATTAAAACTGTAATTAATTCACTACTGTGCTTTATAGGTGCTCACTAGTAGGGAGAAAATTTATCCTATATTTTTGGATTTTGTGCATCATAGCAGACTATAATGTTTTGGTTATTGTAATAAACTATCTAAATCTTCTGCTATAAATTTTAGAAATTTACAACATAGACAATAATGAATTCATCCTAGAAATTTACAAGATAGAAAACAATGAATTCAAATTTTAAGACAAAATAGTCTCAAAAGAAAATCTTAAAATAAGTTGTAAACTTTGCATGCTTAAGTACTTAATGTGACAACTTAAAAAGACACAATCTTACATGTTTTAACTAAGCTGAAATAACAAGTTAAATAATTACAGTTATCTAAAAAGCAAAAGTTCTTATTAATGAGTAAAAAGAAAAGGTTAGAACATCTTTTGGTTTACAGCATTTTTTGATTTTAAAATATAAAATGTACTTTTACATAATCTTTTTAATTTTAAATTAAAATAAATTATATAAAAAATAAAAGTGAATTTTAATTTAAAATAATAAGAATAATTGTGGAAAAAGTGATCAGCTATTAGTCAAAACCCTATTTAAAATAGTGATTGAAAAAATAGATATAAAATAATAAAATAGTTATAAATTCATAATAAAAAAATCGTTACCAGACACATCTCTACTTAAATGTGACGAAATATATAGTGTTAAACACAACCCTAAGCAAAATAATATAATATAATTAATTTTTTACAAAAAAATTATAAAACATTATTTTATTAAAAATATATATAAAAAATTCTTATATTTTAATTATTACACGTAAATTGAAGAATGTAATTGTATAATAAAATAAAAAATAAATGTTAATATTTTATTAAAATTATAAAGCAATTTACAATTAAAATAAATTATTTTTTAGAAGTCAAATAGAATTAAAATAAATTATTTTTTAAAAGTGAAATCCCATAAAGAGTCACATACTTCACTACTATATTTTCAGTTTTAAATATAAAATCAATTTGAAATCATTTGAAATTTTACTATATTTTCAGTTTTTTACTCAACTATATTTTCAATTATAAATATAAAATCATTTGAATTTTTTAAATCAAATTAGTCTGTTTATAAAATTTTAATGATATTAATTATTGATTTATAAATATGTGTCTATATATTTATTACAAGAAGTTTAATTATTTATTAAAATCCAAAGCTTTTTTTTTAACTGTGTTAGTGGTTCGTGATAGACTAATATATTTTATAAGTTTTTTTCTAATCTTTTTAATTTTTATTTTAGAAATTCACATAAATAAATAAAAACACTGGTATTCAAATTTTCGAATTCAAACTCCTAAAAACACCTTCCTCTAACAAAACCTTTCTCTTTCTCACATTTTTTCTTAAGACAACTTTCAGATATTACAATCTAAATTAAATTTGAATTCTATAATCCATCCAAGGAAAACACTTCTCTCTTTTTTATTTTATTTTAATTATAGACACTTAATTAGAAAAATATAGTGAACAGATCTCTTCAATTAAATTTCTTATGCCACTCTTTAAAAATTTTAAGTACCATATATGATTTTAAAAATATTTTCTGTTTCCGAAAATGCATCTCCGGACTTATATTATTTTTATTTAATATTGATTTTTTTCTGAGCTATATCTATGAAATTTTTCCGTATGTACATATTTGGAAGTAAAAAAATATTATTTTTTTTCTTTTTTAATTTATTTGTATCTAATTGTTTTTTTTATACTTTGCAGACATTATAGCAGACAGAGACGATAGATTGCGACTTAGACGGGTTTCACAGCATGCATCTGTCATACGCGAGTGGAGCCAGGCCATTACCGAAGCCGATACATATGTTCCAACAAAGCCTACAACTGAGGCACAACCTATTGCATAACCTTCTTCATCACATGCCCAAGATACTCCTGTTCCTCCTCCCGCCGATGATGTTGATTCGGTGCCACCTCCAGAAGATGATGGCCTACCACCGGAGGATGCTGACGACGATGACGATACATCTATATCAGCATTTTCCCATGATCTTTGGATGGAGGAGTGTGCCTAATTACACAAAGCTGATGCCGCGTGCCCGTGCCTTTCTTCCGCTCAGGAGGAACCAGGCGGTCGACCCTTTTAGAGTCTATCTCGATCGCTTGGCTGTTGAGGACATCCGCTACAACGTATTTGGTGATCACTGTGTGACGCGCTCGTTTGGTGATATCTCACTATTCTCATGACGGTTGGCATACAATTCGACCATCATTGTTCCATATTTGTCCGAGCGCGTCATGCGGCAGTTCGGGTACACATAGATGATACCCAGATACCCAATTATCTCCACTACTCTCGGCTTGATCCGTATGCAGAAATAGGAGATCTATGTTGACTATCAGAGGCACATGGTACCAGACGAAGCTCGGGCGAACAGAGCACCGAGTGACTGGAGATGCGTTGATGGCTACATCATGTGGTTCTTCACCATCTTACACCCCTACATGGTGTCCACTGCAGAAGGATCACCGTCCAGATCGACTCATTAGGAGATTTTAGAGGAGCAGTACTAATCTCAGTTGGACCACACTTAGGATGTCCTTCCTCTTTGTCGTCAAATAGTAGAGATGGGGCGGGCAGGCATTGATGTCAGTTTCTTCCCTGAGGGGTCTGACCACAGACATATATTGGATGAGATAATTGTGATAGCAGAAGGGGCATTTATGTACCATAGACATCACACCAGGACGGGTGGGATCGATGCCCGATGAGGCAGATCGGGCAATCGAGGAGGCGGTAGAGGCAGAGGAGGCAGTAAAGGCATAAGCAGAGGCGAGGATGAAGATGTTATTAGACACACACAGTAGTGACTGTGGTGTTTTTTTGATATACTATATTTTAATGACATTGATGTACTATATTTTGATGATGTTTATGACATATGACTTCTTATATATATATATATATATATATATATATATATATATATATATATATATATATATATATATATATATATATATATATATATATATATATATATATATATATATATATATATATATATATATATATATATATATATATATATATATATATATATGTATGTATATATGTATATATATATATATATATATATATATATATATATATATATATATATATATATATATATATATATATATATATATATATATATATATATATATATATATATATATATATATATATATATATATATATATATATATATATATATATATATATATATATATATATATGTATGTATGTATGTATGTATATATATATATGTATGTATGTATGTATGTATATATATATATATATATATATATATATATATATACACACACACACACATATAGAAAAAAGGTGTGTCCGGAGATACAGCTTCCGAAGTAGTGGGCATAAAAGAAAATGCGTTAGGTGACTAAGAGTATTAAGGGGTAGATTAAGAAATTCTCTATAATAATGATGGTAATGATAGGCCTTTAATTTGTTCGATTTATAAAATCCAAATTGATTATAAAATAAATAAATAAAATATTGCAAACTTAAAATAATATCTACGAAAAAAGGGACGTTTACATGGATATTAGGTTTTTTTGGATTATAGAATTTAAAGAATATATATTTTTTTTGTAAATCGAAGCTTTAGGTGAAAAATAAACACAATATATTTTTAACTATTAAATCAATTA